TCGAAATCTATTATTGCGAATTCGGGTACTTTACTGTAAAATATACTCATTTTAGTCGTAAATCAAAAAAAAATAAATATTATGTTATTTATGTTAGTATATATATATAAATAAACCGAAGTTCAGTTTTAATAAGAATAAGGAAAAAAAAATAGAAAAGTAAAATTATGGTTAGGTACATTATTAAAAGGTTAGTCGTTTATATACGAATATGTCCGTTGGATCTACCGTGCTGTCAATAAATTCTTTTAAGTAAATGCACAGTGGTTTTCTAAGTGGTCGGTTTTCTTTTGTCATGTCGTGAGAAAAGTGATTGAGTGTGCGCGTTATTTCCAGTATTTCTGCTGGCGTGTATGGCCGCAATAAGTTTTTATTTGCTGTATCGATATGAAATATCAAGCAATTTGGTATTTCGTCGTGATATAGTGCGCGTAGATTATGCTGTTGTAACCCTATGGTTTTGCTAAGTTACTTAATGAAAATTTGTTGTTTCATTCTAAAACAATAAAGAGAAAGATAAGGATAGAAACTAGAAAACAGTGGACATTTGCATGCTTTTATGAATGCTTTTGTTGATAAGAAATAAGATAGATTTGGCTAATTCTCAAATGAATGAATTAAAAACTACTTATATATATATAAAAAAAAATTAATAACATGACTATGGGAAAAACTAAAATTTAAGAAATCATTGTTCGTCGTCGTTATCGTCGTAATAACGTTTGACGTTATTTTTATGAATTCTATATTCACGACGCCCTTTCTGGACAGTTATGTTTTCGTTGTCGTGTACTAATAAAATTTCAAATGGTCCTTGCCAGTTTAGACCTAGCGCGTTCTTTTTATTTTGTTCTTTAATCAGAACCTTATCGCCTACGTGTAGTTCGATAGCGTTCATAGTTTTATCATAATATGTTTTGTTAGACTTTTTTTTCTTAATTAGATTTTCCCTAGCTATCTTATGCGTTTCTTGCATAATCCGTTTAAGATCAAAGACGTAATTGTCGTAATTATATTGTGGTTCCGGTTCCTTATTAAATGCTGAAGGAATAGTGGGTTTCGTTCCGAATACCAATTCGTACGGCGTAAAGTAAGTCGACGTATGAACCGTCGTGTTATAGCAAAACGTTGCGTAACATAAGTTTATCCCAATTGTTGTCTTTGTCTACGAAGCTACGTAAGTAAGCTTTTAAAGTTTTATGTGACCTTTCCAAAAACCCGTTTCCGTGTGGGTGCCATGCCGTTGTCTGAATCTTTTTAACGTCCAATAGCTTGCACATGCCTTTAAAAACGTCGGATAAAAAGTTTGTTCCACAATCGGTTAGGATTGATTTCGGAATTCCGTATGTACATACGTAACATTCGACGAATGCCTGTGCTACAGTTGGAGCGTCAGTAGAAGATAATGCAATAGCAAGCGCGTAACGAGATAACTCGTCCTGCAAAGTTAGGATATACATATTCCCCATTAAAGTTTTCGGTAGTGGTCCTACGATATCAAGACAGATTCTTTCAAAAGGTTTAACTACTGTACTAGTAATTAACATAGGTTGTTTGGTTTTAACATGTGATTTGTTTTTCTGACATAGTTCACAGTGTTTAATATAACGTTTAACGTCTTTTTTAATGTTACGCCAGTCGTGATTAAGTTTTAATCGTTTTAATGTGCGTGATACACCGGAGTGCCCGCCCAAAGGTGAATCGTGGTGCTCGTAAATAATTTGTTGTTTTTCCTCGTCGGTAAAACGTTCACCCGTATATATTTTTACTACGATGTCGGTCGAACGAAACACGTACCGAAACATCGTTCGAATTCTTAAGAAGTTTGTTAATGAGGTAGGTCCGTCTATTTTGACAGTGGAAAAGGATTTTATTTGATTCGCAATACAATATTCACGAATATCGTATATGGCTTTATAAACAGTTTCCGCCTCCAATGGTACTGTGTGTGTTTTGGAAATGTTATAAAATATAATTAATTTTGTACCATCGGTGTAAGTACAGAACCGGTTTTCGTCGGTAAACTGTATTTCGTTAAAAGCAATATTTTCGGTAATTGCACGTATCGTCAGATGCGTAATAATTTTGTCTTCCGGAATCGTGACTATAATGTTTTCACTTTCCGTGACCTTGCTAACGTCGCCCTCAACCTCGAGAATTTTAGAATTAAATATTGGCTTATTCTCGGCTGTACGGAAGTCCTTGAACTCGGTATCGAAATTCGTAGATTCCGTTTGTATTATTCGTATACGCGATAAACAGTCGGCGTTCGAGTGTTCGGGTCCCGCCCTATACGTAATAGTATAATCGTAATCGGCTAGCTGCGACGATGCGTCTTTAATACCAAACAGGTATGTTAATGGTCGATGATCCGTTATAATGTTGAAATGACGACCATATAAATAAGGTCTGAAATATTTTACGGCCCAGACGATGGCTAATAATTCTTTTTGGATAACGCTATAGTTGCATTCGGCTTTGTTTAATGTCCTACTCGCGTATGCGATAGGTTGGTCTTTAGGAACGGTCCCTTGTGACAAGACGGCCCCTATTGCATATTGGCTCCGCAGTTAACGAGTTGTGTCCCGACCAAATTTCTCGTACACGAGTTGTGTCCCAATGATAAAAGTGGGGTACACGAGTTGTGTCCCGATGATAAAAGTGGGGTACACGAGTTGTGTCCCAATCATAAAAATGGGGTACACGAGTTGTGTCCCGATTAAAGTTTATTTAAGTTTACAAAATTTTTTATAAATTCGATTTTTTTCCATTTCAATGTTGTATAAAATATACCAACACATATTTTATAAGATATTTAGGTACTGAATAAAATTCGATTCTGTCGATTATTATTATCGCGTGGAGATAAGGTGTGCATGGAGCTACAACGATTGTCATTGTACATGTACATGTGTGTCTTGATCCTCTACTGCAAATGATAAGTGAGAACAACAAAATGCTTTTGGTAATTGATGGTTACAAGTTTTGTTTTCATAAATTATTAAAGTCCGAATTGCAAAGATGGAGATGTACTAAAACGAAATGTAAGTCTTTTATAAAAATTAATAACGTCAATGAAATAATTGAACGCAAAATTAATTAAATTTTTGCCTAGTATGTAATTTTATGAAAACTATTTGTGTATTTATTTTTGATTTTTATTTATATTTTATCAATTAGACGAAACAACATATAAATTATTGTTAGATTAAAATTTTCATTATACTAATATGACGTTTTTTATACTCATTTTTCGTGTTAAATATAATATTATATAAGATATACCTAACTTACCTACTTTTAATATTTTAATAAAAAAATTACTCAATGTGAATTTATAAAAATTGTTATACATTTATATTAGTTAGACCAAACTTGTGTGTAATCCGAAAAAAAACTGGGGGACACAATTCGTGTAACCCGAAAAAAACATAGGGACGCAATTCGTGTAACCCGAACAAAACTGAGGGACACAATTCGTGTAACCCGAAAAAAACATAGGGACGCAATTCAGTATTTGGGACACAACTCGTTTGCAGCCATTGGCTCGCGTCGGTCAATAAGTTGAACTCCCCGTTTTTCCAATCTGGATAGACCGGTAATGGTGGGTTCATTAAAGCTTTTTTAAGTTCCTCGAAACTATGTTCGCAGTTATCGGTCCATACAAATGGTACGTTTTTCTTAAGTAGGTAAGTTAACGGTTTTGCGATTTTCGCAAAATTGTCGACGAAACGTCTATAATAGTTAAGTAGTCCTAAAAATGATTTAATATCCTTTGCATTTTTCGGTCGAGGATATTCTCGAATACATTTTAATTTGTTTGGGTCCGGGGAAACTCCTGTTTCATTTATTACATGACCTAAGTACAATACTTCTTTCCTTAAGAAAGAACATTTATTAGGTTGTAATTTAAGTTTGTGCACGCGCAGCCTATTGAATACCTGTTCTAATTTTTTCTGGTGGTCCCTTAAAGGTCCATACAACACAAAAATCTTATATTTTTTTTTTGTCTATTATTATTATTACGAATTTGCATAAACAAAAAATGTAAATAAAAGTTGTCAACGGTGATTCGTTCTATAGTTACAGCGTTTAACAAATTACGCGTGACGTCATAAGATCCAACTCTACGGCGCACCGAGGCGGCGGCCGTGTGTTTTTATCCGGGAAAATAGACGCATTATCGGTTATCAAACTGTTCAACTGTTATTATTATTTTATTAGTGAAAACATTTTTATTTATACATAGAACCACGGTCTTAGAAGATTTAGCATGGACTAATCGTATAATTATCTTAATTCGTACTCCGTGGTGGTGGTATCTATCTAGTATCTACTTATTCTTATAAATCTAAATTAATTAGTGATTCTGTCGATTTATTATCGCTTTTGATGAACATACGTCTTGAATATTTTTTTCAATATCATTATTTTGTTTCATTTTCAAATATACTCTTGCTCGTGGTAAGTACCAACCAATATCAAAATAATATAATTGTGTAGAAATATATTTTATTTTATTCTAGTCCTACTTTAGCAGTTAGTAAATTTGATGTCAATTGACAGTTCTATTATTTATTTGTTTATTCCTCCTTATATACTTGGCAGTTAACGAGGTTTTATTTTATTTAGCATAATATACCATATCATAATATTTTTTAATAATTATAATGAAGTTATTATTATTTCATATATTTTTATTATATTATTGAAGCTACAATTTTACGGGATACCTTCATTATAATTTTTCATAAAAAGTTTTATTTTATAATTTTATTATTAAAATTAAAATTTTACAATTTAGATGGTTTTTATGCTAGGATTATTTACGCAATTTTTCTTATGTTTTTTGGTACCGGACATAAAATTTAAAAATTAATGATTAATATTTCGTTTATTTTGATTGCTAGTCAAGTTGTATGCTTATTGCTATAGCTTATAACAAAATATTTTTTTCTGTGAATAAGCTTTGAATTTTCATTTAACTTTAGATTGTGAAAATGACGCTGTGCTCTGTTTTTAATTGTAATGAAAGAAGTGAAAAGCAATCGTCATCTGGAGTTCATTTTCATGTGTTTCCATGTCGTTCAAAATCACCTACTAGGTTTCGAAGTTGGGTCAATTATTGTAAACGAAAAAACTTTAACCCCGGTAATGGCGCCAGAATTTGTTCAAAGCATTTTAAGTCTGAAGACTATAACCAGTCAGATTTATTACGACAACAATTAATGCCCAATATAAAAGTCAAAGTAAAACTTAACACAAATGCTGTTCCTACGGTTCCTCAAAATAAACCTTGCTCTACTTCAAATTCTTCAAATTTATCCGAACGAGAAAAAAGAAAAAGAAAAAAAGAAAAAAAAGAAATTATATCTTCTATAATGACAAGTACACCAAAAAAGTTAAAGCCCTCATTTAGGTCTTTTGAAAATAGTGAATGTAAATCGAGTGATGTTGATGATGACGATGATGTAGAAGGCGGTAATTTAGTGGCGATTACAAATGAATCATTTGTGGCTGGTAAACAAAACGAGATTAGTATACAATGTGAATTAGGTAGTGAAGTATTAAAAAGTCACCATGATTTATCATTAAATTTATCACTTGATGAGTTTTCAACTTCGGAGGATGAAAGTTTTGAAGTTTATGATGAGGACATCGAAGTACTTCAAACTGGAAAAAATGCCATAAGGAAATCTAAAGAAATAGAAAACGATTCGTGTTACATTGTTTTCTGGGAGTCTCTATCAATTTTATTTACACGTTGTCATTACTGTAATGCTAAAGTGGAAAATATTCATAATTATACCAAGGGAGCAATGTTGGCCGTACAAACTATATGTGAAAATAGACATATTTTCAAATGGACGTCTCAGCCATTATCTGATAAACGACTTGTAGGAAACATTTTAATGGGAGCTGCTTTAACGTTATCCGGTGTATTATTTAATCAAATGAAAACATTTTGTTCGTCTTTAAAACTTGCATTTTTTTCAAGAACAGTTTATGATAAAATCATTAACAACTATACAGCTCCTGCAGTAAAACTAATTTGGGATCAACACAGACAAAATAATATAAACGAACTAAAAATGGGTACAAATATTTGGTTAGCTGGTGATGGTCAATTTCACTCCCCCGGTTTTTGCGCCAAATACTGCACGTACTCAGTCATGGATGTCCGAAGCTCCAAAATAATAGATTTTAAAATTACTCAAAAAGGAATGGTTCAGGGTGATTTAGAAAAAATAGCATGCGAATTACTACTTCAAGAACTTGAAAAAAACGACGAATGTAACATCAATGTATTTTTGACAGATCGACATAAGGGAATTCGTTGTTATATTCGAACACATCATCCGAATATCGAACATGAGTTCGATGTTTGGCACTTATCAAAAAGTTTGACAAAACGACTAAAAACTCTAGAAAAAAATCATCATAGTGCTTTTATGTGGAAAACAAGTATAATAAACCACTTATGGTGGTCTGCTCAAACGTGCGATGGTAATGGAACTGTATTAGTTGAAAAATTTACATCAGTTCTGTATCACATTTCAAATATTCATCAGTGGAATGATAATGAACAGATAAAAAAATGTGAGCATGATCCACTTACCGATGAAGAAATAAAAAATAAACTCTGGATTCAGTAGTATATATTTGTATGTTCACAGCCAGCTTTTCCAGGGAAAAAAAAAAAGTTCAAGGGGGGAATGTCCCCTTGGAGCACTCAGATTTACCGTGTAACACAATTTCACACTGATTGACTACCAAATTTCGTCTCACACAAAAAATATTTAACATTTACCATTTTTTAAAACTAAAATAATTATTTCAAGAAAAAACACAAATTATTAAATCATAGTTTTTTTATTGTTACAAATAAATTCTTAATAATATTTACACAAGTTTTCTTACTTCTCTAGTAAAAGGTACATATTCTACAATACGATCATGAATTAAGAAACAGTAAGCAGTCACACCTGTGAGCGATTCTGAAGCTTCAATTTCCAATTGAACATCCACTGCTGAGGCTGTGGCTGAATCGTTTTGTTTCGAAGTATCGATAACTATAATTGGAGCGTTTGTCAGAAAAGTAGAAGGACTCAATATCGGGTTGCGAATACTTTTTTCATAGTACGATTCTTGAAACGATGTATACATATTATATAATAAGGTGAAGTTATTTTTAGTAAAATCTAAATTCAAATTATCGTATGGATAAGCTATAGAGTTCAGAAATACTTTAACGTTTGTTAAATTACAATGATCAAATATACTACAATCTTTTGTTAGCAAATTTTTGCGTCCTTTTTGTAATCCAATTATGATAAATCGTGGTTTTTCTAATTTTGAAGCAGTTTTCAAATTCCATACAACTTTTTTAGTGGTTCCGAGTTCAGGATATTCAAAAGTTTCAAAAGATCTAAAAGGGATAAATAGACTTTTTTCTTTTTCTATAAGTTTCAATAATTTCAACCTTTCTTCATCGTCGACCGTTATATGTGGGACCTTCCAGACTATTTTATTTAAGGTGATTTTACCTTCAGTAGCAGTTGCACCACTTTTAACTTGTAAAGCATTTAAATCACTATGACTTCGGGTTAATATTAATTCCAATCTAGAATTCACTAATATTCTTTTATAGTCTTCAAACAATCCTAACCAATATTTCAATGGTATGCAAGCACTAAATTCACCTTTTTCATTTTCCGATTGCGTTGCGTTTTTAAAATTCCAGCCAGCATTTTCATAACAATTGTAGTTATCTGGCGTACCGGATAAGTAACCTTTCAACGAGCTGGTGATTCCAAGAACACGTGTGCTATCTACTTCTATCCCATTGATTTCCAATCGTATTTGTTCGAAGAGGTAAGAGTAACCGTTATTAGATAGTTTCACTTTGGTAGCATCAGTAATTGTTCCTTCCAAAAAAATAAAGCTTTCGTGTAGATATGGGTAGACATCCGTTTGCTGGATTGATATACGTATTTCATCATTATTATTAAATGACGTAGTATACGGTGTGTATGAATGATATTCAATTTTCGTAATTTTAGAATCCGTTTCGTACTGTGAAGTTATATCTAAAATATCACTCTCAGGCATTCTGCTTTAATTGATAACCCAGAGCTTGTAAAATTTTTTTATTTTTTACCGTTAATTTTTTTATCTTATTTGATGTTGCTGGTAACACTTTAGTCTTATGACTAGTTGTGCTGATCCGAAGTAGCGGGTTTATATTGAATTTCAACCCCATCTCAAGACCCGTAACGTTTAATATGTAACACGATTGTCAATGCCTCACCAAAATTATCAATCGGATTATGATCTTGATCAACTAACTGAACGGTTATCGAATCAATATTTGTTTTATTCAATTTGTAATATATTAAATTTGGCGGTGCCTGAATTACTTTCGACCCTGTCTTTCCACTCGGGAAAAACTCATAAATCGAATGACTCTGAAGATGGTTGCTGAATGATCCTTGAGCTATATTACACATTACTTTTATAGAATTAATTGTGTTTAAATTTACAGCTTTTTCCGATCGAAGAATGTTGTATGGATTATATACTCGTTTTTCAAAACCGAATACAGGTGCTATACTAAATGGATATTCAAAGTGTAGTATCCCATTACATTTTATATACGATCTGAAATCATCAGGATCAACCGTAATGTCGAATGTTAAATTGGTTAAGTTTTTACTATTATAGGCAACTATTTGCTTCTTAACTCGATCCTTAATATCTTCAATTTCATAACAACCCTCTTCCAATGTAATAAAACATATCATAGGATTATTATTGTTTTCATTATCAACTACTTGTATAGAAAATTTATTATTATTTTCATTAATATTTGGGAATGAATTAAATGACTGTAAACATAACAAAGCTATTTCTGAGTCATCGTAAAGGTTTATAGGTGGAAAATAATTTACAGATAATACAGTTGAATTTCCAGTCAAACTTAATGTAATAGATTCATGCATTGTAAAAATTCAAGACATAAATGACCACAGTTAAATGTATTGAAGTCTTGATAGTTGGAATAGTTATATACTATTTTGAACTGTCTGAAATAATGTTGTAATTCAATTGGTGGGGGTAAATCACCAAAGCTATCAAAATATACAACTTTGTCCTTATTTTTATAAAACGCTACCCAATGGCTTCCATCGCCTGAAGATATATCCAAGTTTAATATACCACATTCAATAGCGTGCGGTTTTTTAGGTAAGTTATCACGTGAAAAGACTCCACGGAAATGATTGATTTTCAACTTTCCAGTATATTTTATAATATCTTGAGACGAAAGCGGTCTGTCAGGTAGCGTGATCATCAGTTTTTTTTTTTTCTTAACCTATTCTTGTTTGATTTCAAACCGCTACCTTTTTTTCTTTTTGAATTTTGAACCGCATTATACACACTAGCACCTCCAGACATCAAACTACCAAGTGCTGACAATCCCGCAAATATAGGTATTAAGGGAATTACACCTCCTGACTGTCTCGGTGCTAAAATCAGTCTTTTACCACCATTCTTTTTCTTTAAGATTCTTTTTTTCTTCGCTGCTAGTATACCATTTGTTTTTATAGCACTTTTCCGTTTACAACCCATACCTATTTTTCTTTTAGCTTTCATTGCGTTTGTTACTGCGTACGCAACTAATTTCTCTTTTCTAGGTGTATCTTTTGCTTTAAATCTTTCCCAAGCACGATTTTCTAACACTTTATCAGCTTTATGTCTATCGTCTAAATTCTTACTCGTTGCATACACAATATCGTGATCACGACAAGCAGCATCCAATGGGTTTATTCCTTTATCACCACGATCTAGTCTCTTTTTTAATTTCGTGCCAGGACCACAATACTGATATCCTGAAACATGGGCTTCGAACGGGAGACTATTTATAAGGGAGTTTACAAATCCTTTACCAGTCTTGTTTGAATTGTACTTACGAGTTGAACCCGCCATCTATAACTGACTATAAATTGGAAAATTCTAGAGTATTTATAAGAAAATAATATGGATTTGATAGAACAGAAAGATAAATTGGATGTTACAAATGTAGATGTTCAGGTGGTAAAAAAACCTTCACGACATGGTTCGTTATTACCCGATACTATACGTGCTATACTAGTTGGTCCCAGTGGCTCAGGAAAAACAAATATAATGTATAATCTGATCACACATGCAAACGGGTTAAGATTTGAAAATATTTATTTATACTCGAAAACCTCTAATCAGGAAAAATATGTTTTATTGAAAAAAATAATAGATGATATAAAAGGTGCTAATTTTTTCATATTTACAAGCGCTGATAAGGTTATAAAACCAAACTTAACGAAGAAAAATTCTATTATAATTTTTGATGATGTGATATGCGGCCCACAATCTGTAATCAGAGAATACTTTAGCATTGGTAGGCATTCAGGTGCCAGCTCCGTATTTTATTTAGCACAGACATATTCTAAAATATCAAAACAGCTTGTAAGAGATAACGCAAACTTTTTAATAATACTGAAACAAGATGATACAAATTTACGACATATATTCAACGATCATTCGTCTGCAGATATGGATTTCTCAGAATTTCGGAAAATTTCTCATTTATGCTGGAATAATAGCTATTATGGGTTTATGGTTATCGATAAAACTCGAGAAATGAATGAAGGAAGGTATAGATGCGGTTTTCATACATTCATTAAAATAAAATAATTTTATGTGCTTATATAAATATACCGTCACACAGTTATTATCTGCATAGTGTAATCAGTAGTCATACGATACAGGTATATTGCATTTATTATTTACAATGAACCAAGAAAAAGTCTTGTTGGAAAATTTAATAACATCAAAACAAAATATACAACGAAAAATAATGGAAATGAAACGTGGTGTTATAGATTCTGAAAACTATTTCCGTGAGGCATTTAAGCCGATAATTGAACCATTGAGTACACATGTGAAACAAAATGTAATATGTAACACACGGTCAACTGAACTAGAAAATAAATCAGAAACCCCGTGCATTAGTGAAGAAGATAATGATGATGAATTAAATTCATCATATGAAAATTTTTTAAATAACCGTCCTAAATCAACACGTTATGATAAATCTTATGGTATGTATTATGATAAAGATAGTGATTCATATAAAATAGGAAAACATCCTGTTACTTTTAGTCACGGCAAATTACTGTTGCTTAATAAATACTACCAATTTACACCAGGACTATGGTCTTTATTATGTGAGAAGGAACCAAAAAATACAACTATAGCAGATATAGAATCTTATTACAATATTTTGAAAACTAGTGGAGTCCATTTAAAAGCAGATGGAAAACCTAGAACCTCGAGGTACCATAAATGGGTGACTGTTGTAAAACCACTGTATGATCGAATGAAAATGGAGGAAAAACAGTTTAACGAAGAAATAAGTAAAATTAATGAGAATACAACTCCTCGAATTAATTTAAAATCATTTAACAATCATTTATCTAGTTCAAGCGCTAAACGCAGAAAAATAACACAAGAATTTGAACCATTTGATTTTAATCCAGAAGCAAACAGTTCCATGTCTACAAATCCCGTAGTTGAAAAGATGTTTAATTTTACTTCATCACCAAAGACTATGAAAGGT